ATGGTGGATGAAGTCAAGGTGAACCTGGGTGAATGGTCTTTGAACTCCACGTTGTGTCTGAAATGGCACCTGGACTGGATCCCCAGCATTAAGAAGGGCACAAGGAGGGCACTGCACACAGTGAGAAACTAATGGGAAATTCTGGAGCAAATGAAGCATTTCTGCTTTTCCTTAGTTTTTTCCCGTATGTACAACCCAGAAAGAGATTAGCCATTGTAGGACAATTGCGCTGTGGCAAGAGTTGGCCAACAGGTGATGGAAACAATCTCTGATGCCCAATGGTCTCTCCATTTCGTGGGCCTCCCGTTGAGCTCACAGCTTGTGGCAAGAGGTCTGAGTATGTGACGGCTGCTGGCAGGTGGCCTGGGAGAGTAGAGAGGAGTGGCCCCATCAGCCCACAGGCTTCCCTGAGGAGCTCAGGGCACAATCTGGTGTTCTCACTCCAGCACAACAAAAACTAAAGGAGTGATAACATGGCTCATGTAGTTTTTGAGAAGGTACATTGCTGATTTGGGTACCATTGGAGATGCTTCCAGGTTTTGGACAAACATATATATTTCAATTTTTGATACTTCTTAAATATATGAAGTCAAATGTTACTGATCAATACATCTCTTAATGAGATGAATGAGGCCTGCTTGATTTTATGTATCCACGGATAATATCACTTATTGCCAAAATGAGGCAATTTTCATCACGGTTTTCATCTTTATGGAAGAAACATCTGAAAATACTTGTCACATGATTGTGCACATGCGACAAGCATAAGTTTGTGGTAGTGATGTCACTCTGTTCTTTGGATTCCTCTAGGATATGGGCGAAAAATGAAATTGTGATCGATCATCACTCAAAATTATTTTTAATGATTTATCCGCCATGGCTAATTTAGGTCCTCTTTTGATTTTATTCAAAGCAAGGAATCAGAAACCACTCTCTGTAGAAAATATTCTGTGTACCTCAAAATACTATTTTGGATTATCTTTGAAGGAGTCTAGTGACTTGTATACACACAGATCAATGCTGTATAAGGCCTGATGGATGACATGTAAGCTTTCTGTCTTTGGAAACGGGAACAAGAATGTTTATGAGAGAAAAGTTGGGAATGAGAACCAGTGTAACCAGATGATATGTTTATTGTGAAAGTATACGTGGTCATGAAGATCCAGAAGTGATGTCCTCCATGTTTCCATCCCCACATACGTGTTACCCAGTCAGACTTAGCCCTGGAGAAGCCGTGAGATTCCATCTCGGCCAAAAGGATGTTTGTCAGCAGTGCATCCTGCTCAGGACAGGAGTCCAGACGCCCTGGGCCTTGGGGTAAATAATACCTACCCGCACCCACCGCTGTTTTATACCCTTAATTCCAAAATTCAGTATTTAGGATTTGAAAATCACAGTAACAGTCACTTAGATGTGATCATACAACAAAAAAATGAGGTAATTGAAAAGTAACTATCTAATTTTTCTCTCCTAACTGAGAGAACCCAATGGAACCACAGCCAAATTCTGAAGCATGCCTTGTTAGCATTTAGGATAAAAAACATTCCTTGTTTGCTGAGTCGGTTAGACTCAGTTTGATATTTGTCTTTGGGAATGAGGTGATTTATTCTGTTTGATTGACGCCTTTTCCTTTGTGTTGTATAATTGTAGTGGCTGACATCTACTGCCACACACTGTGCTGAGCCTTTCCTGGGTATTAATTTCTTTATCCTAACACAAATCCTGTGACATGGGCTATTATTATCACCCTTATTTTACAGATGAGGAAACTGAGGCAGGGAGGGTTGCACCTTGCTGAAGACCCCACAAGTAATAAGTTCCAGAGCTGTGCTTAAACCCAGGTAGTCTGGCTGTAAATATGGGCTCTTCCTCACGACTCAATAAATGAATCTATTCTAATTATGAGAGATCCAAATAGCACTTCAGAATTCAAAACAAAGTGTAAAACAGCCTGATTAGGATTCTGGTGTGGGCCGGGTAGAAACTGTAGAATATCTTGAGAATAGCTGACATATTTAAGTTTTGTAATATTTCCTTCAGGATCAAGGTGTATGCCTCGGTGGTTTTAGCTTCCTTGTGATATCTGTGAGTAAAGTTCCATGGTTTTGCCCTGCAAGCTTTGTGTGTTTCAGTTGTGTAAACTTCCATATACTTTTGTTGCTGCTAATGTCCTTGTGGCCAGTGGTGTCATTTTCCCCAGTGCGTCATGTCTTGGTGATACAGGATGATAGGAAAGCGATTGTTGCTTAAGTGCCGATCTCATATGCAGCTACATAATGAGCTTTTGTCTGTTCTATCAGTGATTTTCACAAGATTATCTTAAATTTCTCTGATAGTTGATCTATCTATATATCATGACCAATTCATTCATTCATTTCTTAATCTCATTTCCCTCCCTTGTTTGAAGGCTATGTTCTCAACTAGATGTTTACCTTTGTTTTTCAATAGTCTTTATTTTTTAGAGCAGTTTTAGGTTCGCAGAAAAGTTGAGCAGAGAATAATTAGAGTTTCTGTATACCCTTTATGTCTGTGTAGGAATACCTTTCCCCACTGTTAGGACCATCAGCACTATACCCCTGGGGGACAATGTTACCAAAGAGTATAATAGTGAATTGTATGGTAAGATGGTAAGATCAGTTTTGCAAGAAACTGCTTAACTGCCCTCCAAAGTGGCGACACTGTTTTGCATTCCCACCAGCAATGAATGTGAGTTCCTGTTGCTCCACATGCTCACCAGCATTTCTTGCTGTCAGTAAGTGAACTTCTTGAGTAAGAAAAAGGAACTGAAGAGAGACAGATGAAGGAAATGGGATGAGTCATCAAGCAGAGAATTCAATTGACTCAGAAACTGAGAGGTAAGCAGCTGAGATAGAATTTAATTGTCATTCACCTCCATTCCATTGGACACATCACCATTACCTGACACCCCAACTGAACGTGCCACTTTGTTTGGTACCATTCACATACCACCAGTGCCCAAGCTGGACCTACTGGCTTCCAAAATTGTTTGAGTAAGTTTCTTACTTTCTTCAAGTTAGTTGATCAACTGTTAAAATGGGGAATGTAATAACTATTGATTTGTAGCAGTGACTGAATAGAGAAGTCATATTTGCACTTTGCCTGAACATTGTTAGCAATAAAAAATATTGCTACTCTCCAATTTTCACTATTCTTTTTAACTCAGAAAGTTTGCAAACCAAAGGACCTGTATAAAAGATGCATTACAATGGTCTGTTTCCAAATGTAATCTGCTCACTTTTATTTTGATGACTTGATGGTTAAAAAAATTGTATTTTCCCCCACCTCAGCCCCTGGTAACCACCATTGTACTCCGTTTCTATGAATTTGACTACTCTAGAAACCTCATTGAAAAGAATCATAGAATGGTATTTTGTCACTGCCTCATTTCACCTATTCTCCTGTCCTCAAGGTTCATCCGTGTTGTAGTATGTGACAGGGTTTCCTTACTTTATAAGGCTGAATCGCATTCCATTACATGCATGTCCCACACTCTGTTTATCCATCATCTGTCCCTGAACACTTGGGCTACTTCTTCCTTTTTGGCTGTTCTGAACAAGGCTGCTATGAACATGGATGTGCAAATACGTGCTTGAGACTCTGCTTTCAATTCCTTCGTGTCTAAATTCAGAGGTGCACCTGACCGATTACATTGTAATTCTATTTTTAATTTTGAAGGCCCTCCAGACTCTTTCCATAGTGGCTGCGCCATTTAACATGCCCATCGAAGATGCACAAGTGTTCCTATCTCTCCACATGCTTGCCAACACTTGTAATTTTAATGTTACTTTTTGGATAGTAGCCACGGTGCTGAGTGTGCAAAACGCATGTGATTTTGACTTGAGACCTGAAACACAGCAAGAAAGCACCAGGTGAAAAGAATTCTAGGTGTGTCTCACCTCAGCCATCCACTCTGCCACCACGGACCACAGAGTAAGATGGAAACTGCTGCTTTGGCCCCTTCTGTCTCTCCAGTCACAAAGCCCTCACTCCTCCACCATGTCCTCTTGTATGTTTCAGGGTAACCTGGGTTCCTATTTCCCAACAAGCCACATGCTTTAAGTTGTCTAGTTGTCTTTCATGCTGTTGCCTCGGATCCCTCCTCCCAGCATTTCTTCATGTCAAAATTCTGTCTGTTCCGAGTGGTTCTCAAGCATGCTGCTCTGTAACCAGGCTACTTGTTAAAGCCTCTCCTCAGAACTGTCATGGCCCCATCCCCAAGTTTTCCATAAAGCATTGTGATTATGGTTGGGGAGAGGTGGAGGACCAGCCCAGTGGGTGCTTCTACTGCTGGGTCCCTGATGATCCCACTGTGATTTTCCTAGTGGACAAGAGAAACTAAACAGAAGCTTCGTTTGATTGAATTAGCACTTGATTTGATTGAAATCTCTCTTGATATTGTTGGAAACACTAGGTTAGAGAAGGAAGTTAGTTGGGGGAGGTAGTCTCCGTCTTGGCACTGCTTTCTCTTGAGATACTGAAAATCACTGATGTCTTTCACAATTGTCGCCAAGCTACGAACCTTTCTACCTCTATTGCCCAAAGGAAACCTGGCACCGCAGGATAATTTTAAATTAATGATGCGCCATAACCAAATTTAGTGGTTTGTTTATTTATATTCATTCATTCATTCTGTAAATATTTGATGATCCTCTTCTCTGTGCCAGTCACGATGCTAAATAGAGATAAGCCAACCTAAATTCCAGGGGGACTCCCATCAATTCACTGATTATACTATTGTGTAACTACACCATCAGTCTTTGCTACAAAGGAGAGGTGCCTGTGCCAGCAATGCCTAGCTTTGTCCTAGTCACTGTCGTATGTGACCCGGATGGCTGGCATCAGCTCTCAGTGAGGCAGGAAGGGCTGGACGCCAGGCCTTGTGACCTGCCATGTCCTATGTGGGCAGGACCAGTGAGGATCACTAGGTATAAATAGCCCTGGGTGCCCAGGCTCTTGAGTTCAGCTGCTGGTTGCTCATTGTTTGCTAAAGCTGAAAACTCAAAGCAAAACATACCATGAGGCTGGCCTTCCCTGTCCTGCTGGTCACTCTGGCCTTTTTCTGCTATGAGGGTGAGTATCATTTGTAATCAGACCAGCATCAACCTGGGTAAGTAATCTTATCTGAACTAGGTGTCTTATTTAGGGAAGGGAGTAAACGGATCAGTATCCAACCCTTTTCTACCACTTGTGACCCAGTCCCCCAAAAGCTCAGGGTTCATTTAATCAACTCCCAATACTCTGGAACTTTCATAAAAAAATCATTGCAGGCACATTTTAAGAGCTCTCCTTCTGAAGCTTGTCGATGATCATTGTTTCAGAAGCAACACGATATAATTAAATTTGGATGTGAATCACAGCTTTGCCATTTAGCAGCATTGTGACCGTGAACCAAATGCTTAATCTCTCAACTCTCCTCTTACTGGGTTTTACAGTGCCAACAAAAGAGGTCATTACAGTGGAGTAACTTTAAGTAGGTCCAGAGGCCAGCTCTAGGCATCAGTATCCAGTTGTTATCAAGTAGTCATCAGATGTTCTTCTGCCCAGGGTTTTTTAGGTGCCAGGTGAGTCCTCAGCTGTTAAACTCATAGCTTGAGACTCACCAAATGTTACAGCTGGAACGGTTTTAGTTCTCAGTTTAAGGAGAGCCAGCGTTCTCCAATTCTGAATAATAAGTCTTCAATGGGCTCTGACAATAAGCAGCACTCTACCTACAAGCCCTGTTCGTCCACTGAGAGCAGGTGCACAATGGCAGTAGAATAAGAGCAATCACTAGGCCTCCATAGCCATTGCTCTGAACTAATTCTAGCCGTTCATCCAACACTTTTGTGTGTCTCATTGCCCTACACCCTGACCCAAGTCTTTTTGAGTCTTTCCCTTTCATCTGACTTTCTGAACCTCTTCGTCCTGCCTGTGTTGTCTGATCAGGGTCAGATGGGAGCCTGGTAGGGCACTTTCCAGGCTGCTGGTGGTTGAAGAGACTGATGGGATGGAGAATCCAGACAGGAAAAGGGGCAGGTCTCAGCACAATTCCAGTGGGGTCAAAAAGAAGTCTGAGTTTCCACTCCAACCCTCTCTGAGGAATTCTGTACATCGCTGCAGAATAAAAGAGTCAATCATAGTTTTGTGTATCAGCTTCAGATGTGTTAAACTTATAAGCAAATTGTTTTAGCTTTTTAGCTATGTCTGAACCAGTGACATAATCCTATTGTTTAATTTTGTCTCCAAAGAGCATTTTCCAACACTTAACAGCTATACTGACCTTTCTCCAGATTTATTCCCCCTTTTCTGAACTCTGGCAAGATCTGACTCTGTCATTCACTTGAAAGATTGATCACTAAAATCTCTTTCTCAATATCCAAGACAAAAGAAGTTGTCACTGTATTGACAGGGAAACCTTCATTTTTGAAATCTAGGGAGAGTGAATTTCAGCACAGCAGGGGAGTCCTGGAAAGCAGTGGGTGTCCTTTACACAGAGAGAAACTGAACTAGGGATCCCTCAAACTGTTTTCCAGTGCTCCCTAGCCCTGAGGCTTGCTCTGTGACCTTGAGGCAGTCACAACCTCTAGGGTTTGCTCGGTCATTGGCACAATTGTGTGATGAGATCACAAAACCCCCGGGGTTCCTGTCCAGTTGTAACATCAGAGAGCTATGGGGGAAAGTGCCTTTGCTCATATCAATTGTGTTTCTTTTTTGTCTGCCCCAGCCAATGCAGGAGTCTGTCCAGCCGTTCTTGGGGAATTGGGAAACCTCATAATTGGCCCAAAGTTCATTTTCGAGATCAGTCTTCAGCAATTTAATCCACCTCCAGAAGCTCTTCAAGACGCGCTGGAAGCGAAGGAATGCATAGATGGTTTCTCCATTCAGGAAAAACTCCGACTAATGAGTATATTGGTAAATTCTTTCTTCTTTCTGCACAGAGGCTTTTTTTCAGTGCACAAAACTAGACCGGGATAAGTGAGATCACCGCTCGCACTGCTCTCCTGTCTGGGCTCTCCATTTGCCTTTGCTGGTTGAAATATTTCTTCTACATCATCGTGTTGAGCAACAGCCTGTGTTACCGTGTCATGTCCCGGAGCAATATTACTGACCTCCCTTTCCTCTCTTTTTGTATTTTAGACTAAAATGACATTGTCATGTTAACTACTAGATTGAAGAAAATCTTACACACAAGGCCCACTGACATTCCATAGTGACCTGATCTTCCCCGGAAAATGTAAAGGTTTCAACATCTTGCTTCAATAAATCACTCGCCCTGCACTTGTCTGTGTGTCTTTTGTTTTGTTTTGTTTTTAGCTGAGCCATCCTACTACCTGTTGGCAGCTCAGCAGCTGCTCAGCTCGGGCTGGACTCGAACCGCTGTTGCTCAGAGCTCAAACTCTTGAGAGAGCTCTTAACCAACTGAGCCACTCGGCCGGCCCCTTGTGTGTCTTGATATCATCCAATAGTCTCTGGTCTGCCGTTGGGGTGGTTTCATCAGGAAGTGGTCATTGGGTGTTGTCAATAGATTTCAGGGACCCAGTGTCCAGTTACCCATGGTGCTCTGAGGTGCAGGGTCACAAAGAGGAAATATTTGCTCAGGACCATCCTGCATTACTTTACAGATTCCCCAGTCACAGGGCCATGAGTGAAAAGGATGGTTAGGGGTAAAAAGCAATCACAGCGTTCCTGTTCCTGGGCTTGTACTGAAGGATACCCGCAGCCTAACTGTCTGGCCAGTCACGTGGTTCCCACCAGCAGCATCACTACTATTCCATCCTCATCATAACCACAAACAACCTGCCTGGTCCTCACCCTTCACTGTGGTTCAATGCTAGGATGGTCTCGTGGAACTTGTTTCCTGAAAGTTTCTCAATTTGTAGTGAATTCAGGATTCAACCTCCAGTGAACTCTTCTAGCTCTGCACATGCACAGTGCTCTTCACTCTCTACATCGCTCAGTAACCCTCGGCTACTTCTTCCTCCCTCATTCTCCCTAAAGCTGAAGAAACAAGCATCCAGCTGCCATCTGGACAGTGCTAGTCAAGCATTCACACTCATTTCAGAGGGAACGTATAAAATCCACAGTGTCTTCTCCTTACCGACCCCCCTTCTCCATGACCCCATCCACGCTAACGGAAGTGACTCAGGAAACGTAGCTACATCATAGGCCCCAGATTCGTTTCCAGGGTCTGCTGTAACACACCAACACCACTTGGTGGCTTACCTTATTTTCTCCAAGTGTGGAGGACAAGAGTCTAACATCTGTAACAGTGTGCCAAAATCATAGTGTCAGGAGGGCTACTCTGGCTGTGGAAAGTCGAGATGAAGATCTGTTCATGGCTGCTTCCAGCTTGGAAGGCTGGTGGCATTTCTTGTCTTGTGCCCACATCACTCTGGTCTCTGCCCAATGAAGTGACCTTGTGTCTCCCTTTCTGTGTGTGCAAATCTCCCTGTGCCCTCTTTTTCTTTTTTTTTTTAGCTGAGCCATCCTGCCACCTGTTGGCAGCTCAGCGGCTGCTCAGCTCGGGCTGGACTCGAACCGCTGTTGCTCAGAGCTCAAACTCTTGAGCGAGCTCTTAACCAACTGAGCCACTCGGCCGGCCCCTTCCCTGTGCCCTCTTGAGTAGAATGTATGAGGTGGCATTTGCAGGACACCAGAAGAAAATTCAGGATTATCCCCCTCACTCAGAATCTGAATCTTTATCACATCTGCAAAGTCCTTCTTTGCCTTGGAGGGAAATGACAAGTTCCCGGGTTTAGGGTGTGGATATGTTTTAGGAACTATTATGAACCATTTGCAGCTCATGTCCCTCCTCACACCTAAGAGTTGGCTAAGTCCTGCCCCGTCCACTGCCATAGCACCACTTGGCTCCTGACCTTTCCACCCACACAGCCATCATCATAGTCCTTTCTTAGTCCTGCCTGGCTTGTGCCTAAGTCTCCTAAGTGGTGTCCTGGGGTCTGAGATATCCCTCCTGCAGCACACCCTACTCACTGACATGAGAGTGACCCTCCTAAAACAAATGTGAATCAGATCTTACGTCTGCAACCTTGAAATGCTAGACATCATATATTTCTGAATGTGTCAAACAGAGGACATATTATTAGTCCTAAATTTATTCTCCAATTACAATAGGCGCATTTATTCAAACTATGATTGAGAAAATAAAAGATTATAGTTATCTACTATTATTGGTTTTCTCTAATTTTTTACATTAAATGTGTATTTTTAATCACATCACGAAGCCTGTACCCTGGAATTGGTTGCTGTTTTCCGAAACACATTGCATATTCAGTTTGCATACTATGCATGGTGCACACAGGGAGCTCTCACAACCTTCAGAGAAACCCAGACTGGATTGCTGAGAGGACCAAGCTCACTGCTGGTGTTGCACACAAGGCCTTGCACGACCCATCCCAGGCACCACTCCGACCTCTTCTCCCTGCTCACCCAGGATTCCATGCTCAGTGATAGTTGCCTAAGTGCCATTCACTCATGTGTTATGGTGGTTCACACCAGTGTACCAGGGCATGTGGTGTTCCCTTTGCCTCTGTAACCTTGCTGCACAGAACAGCCGACAATCTCATCTGTAGGGTGCATTTCATTCAAGGTCCTCTGTGAAGCCCTCCTTGACACTCAAACCCTAAAATAAAGCTTTATACATAAACAAATACTTTACCCTCAATGACACACACAGAGGTTCACATTTTTACACACACAGACACACCCAGATACATGCACATACATGCACAACGATACACACACACACATAGAGAGCCAGTCATGCCCCTGTTTTCCCTTAATTTTTCTGTGATATGATAGTCATATCACATTGTTGTTTTGAGAACATATGAGATAAATTAATATAAAACAAGAAATGTTATCAATCATGATTATTATTTCTAAAATACTTAAGTATTTACATGCATCAACCACCCCTATGGGTGCACAGTATCCTGGAAGGGTTACACTTTTTGTTTCCCTTGTTTCCCTTTGTCCTTACTAGTCCCCTGGAAGGGGAAAGACTGTTCCCACCATTGCATGTGGGGATGAAGAATGTCCCAACCACTGCTCCTCAACCCTGGCTCTGTGTTACATAAACTGGGAATATTTCCAAAGCAAGGGCTGCCCAGGTCCCACTTTTGGACAAACATATGTGCATCTCTGTGGGTTGACCCATGGAGTCCCCATTTCCTCACCTCTGCCTCCTAAGGGTGCAGCCACCCAGTGACTGTGGAGGCCACCACTGAAGTGGAGAGGGACACAAGACTGTTCATGACAGTCAGAGAACTCCCAGCATCACCAAGGTAGTCACCTGAGGACCTTCCCTTAGCTGCTTCTATAACCCTTCAAGCCTGGCATTTGAGGGTCATTCATTAGTTTCACTGGTATAAAACTAATAAACTTAGGGTGTCATACAGGAACATTTTCTTCATGAGATGCTATAGAGTGAGAGGTGAGATATGCAAGACCCCAGAGGCTGGGGCTGGGGAAGAGAGGTTAAAGTGTGATTGTTTAGTGGGTAGAGTCTTGGTTTGGGATGATTTCTGGAAGGGATAGTAGAAAAGGATTGTGAGTATAGTCAATACAAATAATTATACAATTACATAAGGCTGAAATGGTAAATTTTATGTTGTGTATATTTAACCAAACACTCACAAAAACACTCCACAGTCTGTAGCTCTCTTAGAGGCAGCAGAAAGTTTGCTGTAAGTGGCAGGAGGGCCTGTGTTTCAGTCCTTGTTGGCACACTCTCCCAGAGCTGTTGACATCTCAAAGTCAAATTATGTCTGGGCCAACTCTCTGTTGGATTTGCCTCCTGGGTTTTCTTTTGTTGAAGATATCACTAATGTTTTAGAAACTTTGGATCAAATTCACAAACTGAGTTAACCAAATACAAAGGATTGGCTTCTGCAGGGTCTCTTGACGCTACCTTTGAGGCTTCTAATTCTTCTCCTGCACAGACAGAATTGCTATCTCTGTGGGCTCTCCTCCTCAGGTACCTTCTCCCTGCATCCATCCTACTCTGGATGACAAGGTCAACATTCTTTTGGCTAGAGCATATTCTCTGCTACCTTATGAGGAAAAGCTCACAGGAGATAAACCTTTTGAGGATTTACATATTTGAAATATCTTTATCCTCATGTTTAAATGCTACCTGACTGAATATAGAACTCCATTCATATACAATGATAGCTTGCATTTGTCATAAGATTACTTATGTCAACTTTCAATGACTCTCCAACCAGTGATACGAAGTTCAATGTCTCCATTTAGAAATTAGTAAATCCAGGCCTGTATAAGTCAAAACTTCACATGTGTTACAACTAAGATTTCTCCTTCCCCTCTCTCGTTACATCCCTTTTTCTCTTTCACCTGATAACCATAATTTCTGCCAGATTTAGGGCTTAAAAATGGGGAAAGATTAGGATACAATACAGTTCTTCATTGACATACTCTTTTGGGACTGGTCTAGGTTCTCTGAGCCATTCTTGTCCTCTCAAGGAACAACTTCATGGGTCTTCTGAAAGCTCAGGTTACGATGTTATTCTCTTTATGGTTAATAAACATTCAAAGCAGAAGAAGCTCTAGAATAACAAAACATGTGACAGCTGGAAAAGATAAAGGATATGGAAGACAAATAATATATGTAACAAACGTGATTGATGCATAGTAGAAAGGATAAAGAACAGAAACATGAGAGAAAAGAGTGTTAAAGCATCCATGTAGGATGTCCACCTAACAGGCTACTTGAATGAGAGACATTATGGTGGGAAAACGTCACCAAAGAAAAACACCTGGGAAGTTTCCAAGAGTGATGAATACGAATTGAATACCCCACTCATTCTCTACCTCAAAACACATTTCTGTGAACATACCCTAAAACAAAAGATTTTACTTCAGAGACAAAGAGCAGAAAGAAGCTACAGGAGAGGATCATGGTTACAGCAGTGGAAATAATTTATATCAGTTTCCCCATATTCCCCTGATAATGGCCCTGGAGCCAGAGGTTTACACTCTGAAGGCAACGGTTAGCTAGAAAATGTGGGCAGGGAGTGGATGGGCACTTAGTAACTGAGTAGAGACCTAATAAACCATATGAGCTGTCACATGCATTTAGGGATTAAACATTTAACCTCACATTTTGTAAAAATGTAAGAATATAAAGTTCAGGGTTTTGGTGAAGAAGCCAAGAAGAATTAGCTGGAGGTGACTCCTTATCCAGGCTCAGCTTCCATCCTGCTCCCTGTTCCA